AAAGAAAGAAATACATATATGAACAGGAAATTGGAGTAGGACTTGGACAAAGTGATGATGTAGAAGAGTACGATAACAATAACAAGTGGAAGGAGGTTTATCTTAGATAACTAACATCAACTAACAATCATATTTCCAAAGATACACAATAGAGGGACCAGACCTGATGATAGCTAATGTGGAAGCAGATGATGAGGCTGTGTACACCTGTCAGGTCATCACTAAGCTGGACATGGCTGAGGCCAGTGGCACCCTCACTTTATGTGGTAAGATCCCTGATCATATCCTGCACCAACAAGTGTCTTTTTAAAAATATGTGTATTTTAACTAAGAAATCCTGTTTATGGGCTGTAGAAAAGCAACGGGCCAGTAGCTGTGTTAATTATATTATTTTTGTTCCCTCAGATCGTCCAGACCCTCCTGTCCTCCTTCAGATCACTGATCCTAAGCATCGTGCAGTCACCCTCAGCTGGACTCCTGGAGACGACCATAACAGCCCTGTGTTAGGTGTAGTACTGACACAACCACACAAATGTCCACTCTGTAGCTCTATCTCTGGTTCATGGGAACACACATACACAAACAATGTCATCAAACATATTTGTTTACTCCAGGTCTGAATAGGGCGCTACAGTCAAAACAACAAATCCATATCATGTATCCTCCTCTTGCAATGAAAGGCTTCACTGCTTTCAGTACTTGAACATGATTATTAGATAATCTGCAACATGTGACTTTTGAAAAACTTTGACTTTGAATAATTTTTTATGTTTCTAAAACTTTTACCCCCTTTTCTCGACAGAGTACATGATTGAGTTTGAGGACCAAGATTCGAAGGAGAGGGGCTGGGAAAAGATGAAGACAGTAAGTGGGAACACAGAGCGTGCCAGTCTCCCTCTGTGGCCTGACATGTCCTATCGTTTCCGGGTCATTGCCATCAATGATTTGGGTAAGAGCGACCCCAGCAAGCCGTCTGAAATGCACAAGACACAAGCTGAAGGTAAGAGACTACTAACTAAGAGTTTTTACAGTCACAGTAACTGCCTCAAAAACTACGATACTGACATTTTTTCTTACAATCACAGCTCCAGACAATAACCCTGAAGATGTTAGAAGTGAGTCCACAGACCCAGACACTCTGGTCATCACCTGGGAGGTACGCCTGTTAGCTACATATACTATATCTTGAAGAAACGCCAAACATTTTTTTGTATGTCTTATTGGCTGCTATTCCTGTTATTACAGGAAATGGACAAACGCAACTTCAATGGGCCTGACTTTAAGTACAGGGTACTGTGGAGGCGAGTGCTGGGCAGCGGGCCCAACTGGCACATCAATTACACAGCCGCACCGCCATTCATCATCAATGACGTTGGCAACTTCTCCGCTTTTGAGATAAAAGTACAGGCTATGAATAAGAATGGAGATGGACCAGAACCAGACCCGGTCATTGGCTACTCAGGGGAAGATGGTAAAATATATTTTGAAACTACAACAACTGCGCATCAGGTTTTCCAGCAATACACTTTTACTTTTACTGGGGATATTTCCTGGTCATTTTTCTCACTTCCTGTCTTCTTTTGCGTGCTGTCATCATCTCTTAGTTCCGTTGGAGGCTCCAATGGATGTGGGCGTTGTACTAATAAATAGCACTACCATCAAAGTGACCTGGGCAGCAGTAGACAGAGATACTGTCAGAGGACACCTGCTGGGATATAAGGTACAGATGCTGTATCTCCTCTGTTGTTTGGGCTAACGTACTCAGCCTCTGTCCTCATGAATAATATATGTTTTGGGTTTACAGCGAGGGGAGCGACATCTCAGCTTGGCAGAAGCTTCAGAGTTCTCTGTAGTTTCAAGGTTGTGAAGAATAGAGCCTCTTTAAGATGATCTCACCTTCAAAATGAATCACACTGTTTAAAGTTTCTTTCTCTTGGGTCTTTGGAGTATGTTCCATTCAACGATTTACTTATACCTTATTTTTTCAACCAAGTTTGAATTTTGCCAGAAGAAAAAGTCTCTTGTCTCTCATGGTGTGACTACGTAACTCAACATGGGCTTAGTATGAATAAAGTTTATGAAATCTTATTTCAAATATAACTTAGAAACTAACCAGTGACTCCCTCTTTTTACTGGTTCCAGATCTACTTGACCAGGACTGGCTCTAGGGGCCACCACCGTGGCAGAAGGGCCAAGGAGTCAGAAAATACCATGGTGGTAGAGACCGGGGCCAACGAGGAGAAGAAGGTGATCAGTGATCTCAGACCATACTCCCACTATACGCTGGCTGTCATGGTATTCAACAGCAAGGGAGAGGGACCTGCCTCTGAGACGCTGTCCTTCAAGACCCACGAGGGAGGTGAGGATGAGAAAGAGAACAAAAATGAGGGTTGAAGGAGGGAAGGGTGGCAATACTGACATGGGGGGGTTGTAGATAAAGTAGGTGAGGGGTTCAATTAACTGACGGGGAGAAAAAAGGATAGAGCAAGATCGGGGAGAAGGAAACAAGAAGGGAGGGATTACAAAAGGGGAACTGACACAAATATCCAGACAATGGGTAAAGAGCAGGGTTGAAACTGATGTACGGAAAAGATAGTATTGAGCAGGAAAGGCTTTACGGAAAACATTGTCAGTAAATCAAAATTGTACAATAATGACTTCTAAGGCAAGTGCATGAACCAGACCTGTTTGTGTTGCTGCTAGTTCCCGGTCCTCCCATGTCCCTGAGTTTGGACAGCCCATCAGAGACAGAGATGACCCTCCGCTGGACGCCTCCCGGACAACCCAACGGACTCCTCATTGGATATCTCCTGCAATACCAACGAAGTGAGGATTTTTTTCACATCTAAATCTGGTTTTAATAGACGACATCACATCCTCCCCATCCTGGCATCTCTCCGTTGGTGGCCCACTTGGTTTAGGATTGATTTTAAGATTTTACTGGTCATTTTTAAAGCTTACTATATCTTTTTATTTGTATTTCATGCTTTCACATAACACTGTCTTCTTATTGCTAATATGTCTTAATAGTTTTTAATTGTGTGCATGACTATTTGAAATTGTGCCTCTGCTTTGTCTGTCGAAGCACTTTGTCAACCTTGTTTTTCAAGAGGATATACACAAAGGTTACTGTTATTCATAATAATAAAAATCATTTTCTAACCAGTGAACATGCCAGAAAATGTTATTGTGTTATTGTAACTAAATCAATATCACCTGAAAAATGTCAAAAGCCTAGTCTCCTAATGATGCTCATCAGTCACCCACACCAGCATGTGGCCCATAACAATGTGCTGAAGATCAACTGGTGATTGAACGTTTTTTTGTCTGTCCTGCGGTCAGTTGTGGAGAGTGATGACAGCCCCACGCAAGTAGAGGCAATAGAAGATCCCACTGTCACCCACCTCACACTGAGGGGCCTGGACCGGCACAGCCAGTATCGCTTCTCTCTGCGGGGGCGCACTGCTACTGGAGACGGAGAGCCCATAAAGAAGGACGGAGCCACCACGCTGGATGGAGGTACAAACCACATTCTTTACAGTCACAAATATGACTCATGCAGGACCAGATTGTATTAGATCATGAATTTGATCCCTCCATCTAAATGTGTTTCAGCGCCTCCTTCCAACATCAGCCTGTCTGTGGGGGAAAACTCAGTTAACCTTAGCTGGGTAGCCAAAAAGAGACATAGGAATGTTGACTTCCAGATACACTACCTCAGGAAGAATGGTATAATATCTACTCTATGTGCATAAGGAAACATTAATTGTAATCCAATTAGTTTCTGGTGGGAAGAGTTTTGCAACAATGGTTTATGTTGTGCTTCTGCAGATGGCAGTACATGGAAGAAGACGGAGAAGGTGAACTCTTCTCAGTCTTCCTACCAGCTCCAAGGCCTGACACCTGGCTCTCTTTATCATTTACGCTTCACCTACAGCAACACCACCTTCTGGGAGACTGACATCAAAACAGACGGAACAGGTACAACGAGCGCTCTGCCTTCATTCATCCTCTTTTCTTTCATCTTCTCTTCTCTCTCCTCTGGGCGTCCACACAGCTAAATATAAAGCCCGAGTCCCTACAGAGAGTGTCTTGCAGTTCCCAGTGCTGCCTGTGAAGTGCTTTCAAAGACTTCTGTGAAAGGAGAGCTTGGTTAGCCATATGAAATGATCCATTACTTGTGTTTGTTTCAGTGAACCACCACCCTGTCAGAATTCATTATGCTCTTTCTCTTTTGCTCTAGATTCTGCTACCTCCTTCATGTTTCTTGTTTTTCATCCTTTTTGCTGCTTTTGTACTTTTACCCCGTTTCCCCTTTACACAAAAAAACCCTCACTCTCTTTTCTTTCCACCTCCCTTTTCCTTTTCCCTCTACAGCCGTGACGGAGGTGCAGCAGAACTTTGCGACGCAAGGCTGGTTTATCGGCGTAGTGAGCGCCATCGTGCTGCTGCTGCTGATACTGCTCATCCTCTGCTTCATCAAGAGGAGCAAAGGGGGAAAGTACTCAGGTAAGTGCAGTCCAACACGATGACTGTAAAGCATTCATCAGTAGAGCCGTGAACTGTGGATAAGTATAATTAATAGAGGCCTTGAGCAACAGTGTGAATTAACAATATTTGTCTGTCCTTCAAAGCATGTTTGAAAGAGCAATGCAATGTCAGACAACTGCTATGACGTAATGACACACACTGGGTGTGACAGTCTGGAGCCATAAAACTGTCTGATAATGAAAATGACACTGTGAAAGAAAAGGAAGCCAAGCAGTTACAGGAAAGCACCACAGTGAACAAGATTATTCTGACTGGAAACAAGACGGTGAAACGAGCTGTCACCGTCTTTTAAATTCTCCCGAAACAGCTCTCTTCACTTTCTTATTTTTACAGCAACTCCAAATAGATTGACGATTTCTTTTTTGTCAACCCTCCCCCTTTGCTGCCTTCGCATTAAACATGAGGGGTAACAGACCTCAAAGCTTCAACGTCCTTACTTTGAGAGTGAAGGACAAAATAAGTGTGAAATAATAACGTCAATCCATAAGAGTAATGGAAACCTGCAGGCCACTGTCTTACTGGTCAGAAAGAAAAACAGGAGAACTAACTGAACTAGACAACAGACAATATGAAATTCACAGAGTAAAAAAATTTAAGTCATTGACATCATGTGATAAAATCTTTTTTATAGATATGTGCCTTAAGAAGAGAGATAAAACAGGTAACACATTCTGCTCATCTTATCTCTGCTGGCAGGCGGCAAAGGCTCTATCTCCTTTGGTTTTTAGCCTAGATTTTGGAATGGCTTTACCAGTGGATCTCAGACTGCCTCTGAGCTCATAAAAAAATCCGGGATCTGCCTCCGGATTCACACCAAAATTTAATGGAGCCATTTTTGCATCCTTTCACCAAGTTTTGTGCAGATCCTTCCAGTAGTTTTTCAGTAATCCTGCTAAATAACGGACAAACAAAGGGAGATGACATAAATGGAGCTAATAATAACTCCGACCGTACCCAATGAATTTATAATTCTAATACTAATTACTTAAACACAGATTTAATTATGAAATTCATTAACGCTAAAAGTCAGACAAGAAATGAAGTCAGTGGCCTGACTCTAGACCTCATAAATAAACTGATCGGTCCACAGATACTGAGAATATTTTTGTTCCATGCACATACTTATCTGTCCGTCTGACAGAATGTCATTATTAATGTGCGAGACAGTGGCTGAGAGAGAAGCATGATTTAGATCTTCCTGATAATGAAATCCAATAATCTCTCTCCTTGTCAGTGAAAGATAAAGAGGAGGGCCCGATGGATTCAGAGGCGCGGCCTATGAAAGATGAGACTTTCGGAGAGTACAGGTTTGTCATCTGAGTGCACAGCAGTATTTTTTAACCTTACATTATGTTTGCTATAGATGCTTTCAATTCTAACTCCTGACAGCCCTGATTCCCTCAGCACTGTTTGGTTTTCCTAACCCTTTGTGTTGCTTTTATTATCCCTCTTCTCCCTAATGCTTGCCTGTGCTATGCAGATCTCTAGAAAGGTATGCTCTAATGCAATATGCCCGCACCCATTTTTAATTATTTCCTGCATTACTAACCTAATGTCTTCCATGTTCAGAGAAATAATGGATTATGTAGCTAATAATATTATTCATTTTCTTCTTATATCCATGGATCAGTTGGTCTATAAAACATTAGAATATACTTATTACTACATAATCAAAATATCCTAAACACAATAACATTCAATTTAATGCAATGTAAGAGCAAGAGAAGCAGAAAATGATGTGAAAACATAAAATCATTGTTTGCTTGCAAAATGTAAACGTAAAAACCTGTTTAAAAAAGTTGATCATCAAAATAGTTGCTGTTCTATTATTGTGAAGTTTTGGTTGCATGGCCTCATGGTAATACTCCTTCCTTTTGACCTGTTGTGTGCTCTCATATACTATAGCGATCTCGAGGAGAAGCACACGGCCAGCCAGCCATCCCTGTGCGAGGAGAGCAAGCTGTGCAGCGAGGACAACCTCGACTTCAACGGCAGCAGTGCCATAACCACGGAGCTCAACATGGACGAGTCTCTGGTCAGCCAGCTGAGTCGACCCAGCGAGGGCCCAGATGCGCTCCACGGCCTGCCAGACAACTCCCCGCTCAACCCCACCGCCGTCTCCCCAGCTACCAATGGCACGCCCAACTCAGTTACCATTCTAGATTAACCTCCACATGTCCACCGGGGGACCACCAGACCAAAACATGTCAACACATATGTGCCCATATGCTCTTGTTCCTTATACTGACGTGCTGATCTGTACTTTGACGACTGATACACAATCAATATATTGACTATTCAGATGTCCCTTGCAGTCATCTGATGGACTGGACTGTTTTGACCAAAGGAGTGTCCATGAGTGGACAGTGTGATACGAGTCTGACTTACCTGAAGATGTCCGTCCCTCACCCTCTATCTGTGTAGTTTACAACTAATCCAAATGACTAACATTCATTTCTCTCCATTTCTTCTCTTTCTTTCTCTTAGCAACCAACACCATAGAAAGGTAAAGACAGAATGCTGTACAGATAGAACTAAGAGAGGGACTGTCGCTGTGGTTGTGTAGAGATGCAGTCGTACATTGAGAGAGGAGGGTGGTGTGTGAGGAAACAAAAGCTTCAACCAGTCTTGAAACTTAGATATTTATCACGTCTTGACTTAATTCTCATATGATTTTTTTTACGTCTAAAGCCATTTGATGTCTCAGATTGTATTTGCCAGTGACATTTGTCATATATTTAAGTTTTTATGTTTTTGAAAAACATTTTTTTTTATTTTCATCATCATGTTGTCGTATTGTGTTTTACATTATTTATACAAATCTCATGACTTCTCTTTTTTGACATATTTCATCGATCAAGATGTTTTCATCGAAACTAAGTGAAGCCAAGTTTCTAACTATTAATAACATTGGATGCATTAAGGGGAACTTGCTGTGAAGATGCTGAGTAGCATCTGGTGTATATAGCTGCATCTACATCTATCTACTTAGCCATAATACAGTATTATAGATATGTACATGCTCCTTATATGTTCCTGTGCCTGCTGGGTCTGCATAGAGCACCAGATTGATGTCATTACTCTCCGCCTTCCCACCAGAAGTGTAATGCCATATTTGGAATGATATTGTAATTTTTTGTGTCAACACCTACGTGTAGCTTTCTGTATCTTGTCTTTGTCTCTTTCTACACTGTATTAAAAACATTGTTGTCTCTAATTAACAATCTTTTCATACCTGTCCATCCCATACTACGCAAATTGTTTGAGGAGCAGTATTTATGTATATTACAGATCAGAGAGTGGAGTCTTGTGGGCGAACACGCTCATGTTTTATTTTAAGACCCTCATCAATGCAAGTTGATATTGCAGACAGGCTTGATGATTGCCAGTTGGTCAAGGCAAACAGTTGGTAGTTACATCAAATGCAGAGAATGTATTCTTTTTAGGGCTCGGTAGTCATTGTATCTACATGCTACCGATAAAAAAATCTGAGATACAAGGAACTGGAGAGAGAAGAGTGGCAATGAAAAGATCTGGAAGGACAGGTTTTCCCCACTGAATGTAAATACAACCCTAAAAGATTGTTCTTATGAACCCAACCATGTTTGATAAAAAATGTGAAAAATGTGCAGGTTTAACATCATCTCATTTTAAAATGTTGCAAGCTGTAATTTTTCTTCTTTGTACTATTGCTATGAATCCAACCTTTCCCTTTTGCAGTGATATTTGGCTGTTTTAGCTAAAAATAGCTCAGAGCTGAGGAGAGAGGAAAAAAATTGTTCTGTCGATGTTTTCAAACATTCAAAAATTAAAAAAAGTGTACATTAGTGTCATTTAGTGATAGTAGTAGTTGCATTACGAGGAAAGCTAAGATTTCGTTCCTGCCCATAACCATCCAGCGATGCATTGCAGTGCAGTGAATATCTGTGGAGTTTTTGTCTGATGCAGTCATGAGAGGCAGCGATGCAGTTTGTGCACACCACAGGGAGCACCTGTATGCACTGGTGCTGTCTCAGTTCTCCCTATTCAAATAAAAGCTCGACACTGGCCAGACATCACCTGACAGTCCCTGAGGTGCAGAACACGGGATGTCTTAAAACGGCCAGTGGCACAGACAGAAGTGTGTGTGAGCTCCCTGTTGTTGGTTATACAGACACACTCAGGACAAATAAAGGTTTAAAAAGATCTATTTTCATACCAGGAGCGACGAATGACACAAAATATGCCAATATTCTAACTTGACTATCTGCTGCTAAACATCTGTGTTTGTCAGTGTTCAGGGGCAAATGTTAGCTTTGAATGAGGAATGAGTGTACACACACAGATACTCACTCGACTGCCACTCACTCTCTGCTTTTCATGTTTCAAGGTAAAATGTGGGGTCGCTGGCATTTGCTTTCCACCATTGTTTCTCCCCCATATTTTATAATTAAAAAGAGAAAAAAACCTTTGAAAAAGTGAATTGGTTCGTTTAGAGAGGCTTCTTGAGAACTCTGAAAAACAGAAAGACTTTAAACAACAATGCCTGAGTGGGAGGGTTGGGGTGAGAGAAAATAAGAGTGGAAGGAGGGGTAGGGCACGTGTGTCCCTGTTGGGGTGTAAATGCCTCTTTGTGATGTGTGGGGAGCACTGTTGGCATAATGGCACTGGTGGAATCTACATGTATCATGGGTCGGCGTTAGAAGTTGGGTGGATTGTACCACATGTGGGGCCACGATAATTGTAACTGCATTATGAATCTACCACTGTAACTGGATATATGAGTGAAAATAAAGTACATGGAACAATCTGTACCTAAAACAAAGATTCCCTCTTTTGTCAATTAAATCAATGAATATGTGTCACTTAAAATTAAGCAGTAAATATTGAATGAGTGGGATCCAATTCACTCTGAGTGTGAGCACAACAATCAATAGGTTTTATTAGCACATTGTGACAGGAGGACAGGCCTGGTGAAGGTGTGAGGCGGTCAGCGGGAGCTGGTGTTGAATTGATAAAAGTAGTCCTTGGTGGGTTTGTTGGTGTAGAGCTTTTTGTCCAGGTACTCCTGACTGGATGAGAGAGACACAAAGCAACACGCAGTGAGTAACTGCCTCCAAAAATCTGAATTTTACATTTTCGCCTACGAAACGGCCAAAATTATATCGAGACAAAAATGTTCATATCCCAATAAATGTCACATTATTTCTTTAAAGATTAAAGTCAGATTTTTGCTCCTGAGAGAAGGTTGTGGCTTCAATTTTTTTAAAATGAAAAACACTTGTTAAACAGAAAACATCTATAGATTATTTATGTGTCATACCTCCATACACTGTTTTTGATATATAGATTTTTTGTTGTATTCCTATAGATGAAAATTATATAGCAATAATTGTATATATAGATATAGATATTGTTTTATTCCCCAGCCCTTCTTACACCCAGAATGTATTTGCTGACTAATGCTTGAATAGTGAGTGTATGTAGTTTGCAGTATGTGCGGTGCTCACTGTGCCTGCTGCTCCCTGGCCAGCTGCATGTTGTACAGATCCATCTGAATCCTTGTCTGTCTCCTCAGCTCTGCCGCTCTCGCCTCCTCCTCATCTGCTTCTCTGGACAGCCTCAGGAGCTGAAGGTCCCACGCTGCGTCCTGAATCTTCTCAGCATCACGCTGCCTCTGAACATGGCAACAAAAGAAAGGTCTTAGTGTTGAACCTGAGATGCTGTGAAGGATACAAAGTTTGAAAAACATTATCATAATTTTTATGAAAGAGTTTCCAAATGTAGGGTTTAAGATATTTCTGAGGATAAAACAAATTTTATTCAGGATGACATTAAGTTATTTTACAATGTTTTCCTCAGATTTTCCTTGACAGAGGAAATTATTTTTATCATTTCAGCACTCCTTACAATACGGAGAAAAATGAATACCCCTTTTGGTCAAAGCCTTTGGACATAAGGCAACCTGTAAAGAAATATTTACAAGAAGACATAGAGGTGGATAACCTGAATAAAGTAAAGCAGATCAGTAAAAGACTAAGAAAGGGAATAATATATTTTGTGTGGATGCTGTTCATCATGGCTCAACATTTCATTTTTCACCAGTCAAAATGTTGTGATTCACAATTTCCAAGGACTTTTTCCAAGAGTTAGAACTAAAACAAGTTTGAAGAAGAGGAGACGACATGACTTGAACGTGAACAAGACGTTTGTGTACAGGAAGTGCATTGTTATTCAGCGTGGCCCCAGTACCTGTCTCTCACGGCACTGTGTCTCTCTCTCCCCATGGATGGCGCTGAGCTGCTGGGGGCTCATCCCCTTCCACCTGTCAGTCAGTGTGCGGAGCGCCTTCCCTCCTCCCACTTCTCTCTCTGCTGCCTCTGCACACTCCGTCATCATGTCGGACGTCAGCGTGTGCCTGATTTCTGCAAGATTCTCCCTTTCTTCTCTCCTGCGTTGCTCCATCAGTTTCTCTGCCTTCTCCACAGCCTGTGGATGACAGGTCATGGTGAGGCCTCACCAGGGATCCAGGGCCAGTTGATTGATTGTTCCCTTGACAACTGGGATACAAGCAGCGGCTTAACAAAAACGTAACCACTAATATGTGGTTACAGAGTCGAGAATCAACCAAATGGTGAATGTCCTCCTGAGAGACCCAATCAGTCAGTTGCATTTGCTTCATGCATGTGAGTATTTATTAGAGAAACCACATAACTGTCAAAAAAACTACTACAATAACCTGGAGGACTTGTAATGATTCCTCCCAATGGGGGATTCAATCAAGTGCATTCGGACAAATGAGGGGATGAGAGGAGAGCTAAATGAGGGCTTTTAAAAACAAAGAAGGCCCACACATGCATCAGAACAGTTTAACCATCCGTGTTGCTTTGTACGAACGAATATGATCTGTCTTCCTGCAGCAAGAGTGTGCATCACTTAACATTTTCAATTAGCAAGTTTAATTTTAAAATCCCACTTGAGAACACCGTGCCACCGCTCAGAATCCCACTGGATTTTGCTTTGAGCGTTTGCAGCAGCAGGTGTTGTTTGTGTGTTTGTGTGTGTGTGTGTGTGTGTGTGTCCTTCAGTGTGCCCACATGCATGTACTGTACCAGAGCTCGGTTGTAGTCGTTGTATGCGATGCGGATGGCTTTCTTACACTCCTCCTCTAGGTCCGCCTGTTGAACCTCCCTTAGGTCCTGACACACAAGTTCCCTGCTCACCAGCATCTCTGTGACACACACATGATTCGGGAATCGAATAATGTGTCTCATTTTTCACATGTGCATTAACCATTACTCATTGTACAAAGCTCTTCAACAGCACACTCACACATGTATACTGGCTCTATGGGATGAGCATCCATCAACGCCACCTGGCAATAAGGGCTGTGCGTAGGAGTGTGTGATTGTTTGTGCAGGAAAGCATGAAGCATGTGTGTAATCTACAAAGGTTTTAATGTAAAGCATGTACGCTCATCAGTGATTATAGTGTTTTTGTGCGACTTCCTGAGTGTGTGATTTTCTCTTTTCACCTCTATGCTTGTTTCCCATGTGCATTCTCGCATTGTCCTCCCTCTGGGCTCGTAGTTCTCTTTCTGTGTTTTTCATTTGTTCTCTCCTCACTCGCTCCTCTCCGATGCCCTCTCCCTGAACATGAAACAAGGAACATATGGCTCCAGGAGTTATCTGATCATGTATTCAACCCTTCTTTCAATTTTGTTCCCCTACTCCTAATACACACTATGGACCCCACCAGTCACAGAAAGCCTTTACCTGAAACATTTGCATACTGGCAGGCCCCAGCTCACTCTCTGGAATGGTGATCCTGAATGCCCCCTTCAGGCCACACTTGAGATCAGCATCACGTGAATCCTCCACACGCTGCTGAGTGGCCCAGTACTGGACCAGGTCAGTGTGCAGAGCTGCTCGCTTCTCTCTGTCATCAGTGTCCTGCTGCAGTTGAGCGACATTGTGATACTCTCTCTGCTTATCTGCAATATATTGACAATAAAAACAGCTGTGATCACCTCTCATTGGTGGTAAAAGATGAATAATGCTTCAGCTGATTTAATTCCAAGGATAATTTACCAAAAGCTTTGTCTCTTTGTCTCTCTATATTTTGCTGAAGTTTTTTTTCCTGGATTTGTTGGCTCAGAACTTCAGCGTCGAGACCCATCACACGCAGGCGTGTGTTGAAAATTCGGGCCTTTCGTGCTGACTCTGCAGACCTTCGCCTTTCCACTGCTTTCTCAATGGACTGGTCAACAGGCAAATCCACTTTGTACATGTTGGACAGTTTCTAGTGAGCCTGAAGGGAGGAGACACATCACTTTCATTCGTTTATGATTAAATATTAAACTTATCAAACTTATCCTTACCTGAAGTAACAATATATAGGAGAAGCAACACCACCACAAAAAATGTAAAAGTAAAAGTAAAAGTCATTCAACAGTAAAAATAACAAAATCATTGTCAGAAAAATTAACTTAAAGAATGAAAAGTTGTCATTATGCTGGTATATATAATTTATACACATATATGGCTGTCATACAAATACATTACACAAGTTGGTCAGGAAAACTTAAATGATTCTACATACTGTTCAGCACTTCAAACGGTAAAAACTTAAAAAACAAAATGTCTCTAAATAAGTACAATCTCACTCAGTGATCGTTGAATTTTAATGTGTTCAATAAAAGCATCTGCAGCTTGAAAAGAAATATCATTAAGTTGTTTTGAATTGAATGATGAAAAATGTGACACGAATATTTACTGCACTTTGAAAAAGTGGAGTACAAATAAAGTGGAACGTAAAGTACCTTAAAGAGTTTAGTAAGGTAGTGTACTTAAGTGCAGCACTTGTCAAAATGTACTTAACCCTCCAATATATCATTCACCGACCTTGGCGAGGCTTCATTAAATGTATATGAGCTGGAAGCAGGTTCTACAGTTTGGCTGCCCTTTCTCTATTGATGATTGATTATTGATTTAGAGCACAAACTCACCTCTGACGTTGAAGTTGTGTCCAGATAATGTCAATGTATCTGAGGAACAGATCTCTGAGCACTGAGCTGCTTCATGTCCTGTTTTGTTAGACTGCCCTTGGTAACCATGGTAACACCGCAACACTTGGTTTAGGGTTTAGAATAAAACAAATATCCAGACAGACTGGTGGAGCTAAATGTTTATTTATATTGCTCTCTCTTAATATATATATTTATATAAATAAAGTTATTATTATTATCATTATTATTTTTATTATAATGAATTAGTGTCACTGAGACGCAGACAGACTGGTGGAGCTAAACACATGTGTATTCTCTCTGCAGTTAAGATTATGCTTATTTATAGCGCTCTATAGATAAACTTATTATTATTATGAATTAGTGTCACTGAGACGCAGYCAGACTGGTGGAGCTAAACACATGTGTATTCTCTCTGCAGTTAAGATTATGCTTATTTATAGCGCTCTATAGATAAACCTATTATTATTATTATGAATTAGTGTCACTGAGACGCAGGCAGACTGGTGCAGCTAAACACATGTGTATTCTCTCTGCAGTTAAGATGATGTTTAATGAATTCGTGTCACTGAGAAGCTCCCACGTTATTTTTGGGCCGTAAACACAACACAGCTGAATTCCCAGCGACGACGTCTCCTCTCGCGAGAATGCGCGAGGTTTCGGGTCTCGCGCGCTCAATGCTTTTCCTGTTGGGTTGTAAAATGGCGCATCGTTGTCACATCTGCACCGCGACTCTTTGACTTAGACTATGAGGCTGATTAGTTGTATTAAACCAAACATGCACTTCATGATGTGACTGGCGCATTGGTTGGATATAGATTGAACCGGCATTCCTTCATTTGCGCGCATGCTTCGTCTGTAACGTTGCTCGATCGGTAGACGTCGGTTGTTAGCATTAGCAATATCTTACTTGCTAACATCCACTGCATTGTTTTTAAATACAGAACAGCGGCACAGATATATCGACCATGGGATATTTAAAACTGATAGAGATCGAAAACTTCAAGTCGTACAAAGGAAGACAGATCATTGGACCGTTTCACAAGTTCACTGCGATCATCGGACCCAATGGATCTGGTATGTTATGATAGCGGCTAACGCAGACAGCTTGTTAGCATTGGCTAACGGTAAACACAGCGCAGTGTTAACCCTCAGACTTCAGAGAGGCTGCCACTACTTACACTGTTCATGCAAACAGATCTAATGTTAACAGTCTGCACCCAAATGTTAATCCAGTACCAACTATGTATCAACTTATAATGCGCTACTTCTACATGTATTACAATGCATCATACAGAGGATCAAAGTTTACTTTTGTCGGTGCTAACCTACATATGATCAGATCCTTCATGTGAATGTAGGTAATGTACTTTTACTCTGACAAAGATCCCGTGTTATTTTTTAATCCACTGAAACATCACATCTAACTGTGTCTTTTAAAATGATTTGAATCAACAAGTGTTGATTGACCTTTGACAAAACATGAATTACTGCATATTGTAAAAGCCAAGAGGATGAACTTAACTGCAGGGCAGTTGTTTTGCATTACACTACATAATATATAAGGATAAACTGTTTAATCAGTTTCGGTTTTACTTGTTGTTTGTTTCTCTAAACACTCTGAACACTTTGCTGTAGGAAAGTCCAACCTCATGGATGCCATTAGCTTCGTGCTGGCGGAGAGGACCAGTAACCTGCGTGTGAAGACTCTAAAGGATCTCATCCATGGAGCGCCTGTAGGGAAGCCGGCTGCCAACAGGGCCTTTGTCAGTATGGTGTACCAGGAAGATAACGGAGAGGAACGCTCCTTCACAAGGGCCATTATTGGTACGGATGCTTATTGACAGTCATATTGGTGTCTTCATTCATGCATATTGCTTAAAAATATTAAAAATATCATACATTGAAACCTTACTTTACAAGGAAGGTATATGTTGTATGTACTTGCCTGTGGACTTGCACAAGCATGAGTTTTAGATATTTCAATACTCTAAGACGTTGTCACACTTTTAACATGAATCCAGAAGGAAACCCTAAAACGTCTGGTTCTAACCTCTGTCTGCGAGTTGGACAACTTTGTACAATATGATGAGATGTGTTTTATTATCATTTAAAGTGTCTCTACGTGGACGTCTTTTTTTAAATGAAACATCCTTGTAGCCGTCTAATGAGCTTGTGTCTCCTGTTTGATCTCCTTTCATGTGCATCAGGTTCCTCCTCTGAGTACCGCATCAACAACAAGGTGGTGGGCCTGCCTGAATACAGTGAGGAGCTGGAAAAACTTGGCATCCTGATCAAAGCTAGGAACTTCCTGGTCTTTCAGGTGAGACTGAAATAAAGTGGTTATATGAAATAAATGCTATATTTGTATTGACAGTATAGAGTCTATGACATCTAGCAAAGACCTGCTAGTGGGCTAGTTTTTTTCATTGCAAGTAGTCACACACCTGTCTTCAATGGATACCAATGCTTTAAATGTGACTTGGCTACCTAGAGCAGAGGCCCGTAGAAGTGTTTGTCCGGTGTATATCTGGTAACTTGCTGTTGGCAGTTTTTTAATTTGTAATCACGATTTGGTTCTTTCCTCCAGGGAGCTGTAGAGTCCATTGCCATGAAGAATCCCAAGGAGCGTACAGCTCTGTTTGAGGAGATCTCCCGTTCCGGAGAGTTGGCGCAGGAATATGACCGCAGGAAGAAGGAGATGGTGAAGGCAGAAGAGGACACCCAGTTCAATTACCATCGCAAGAAAAACATTGCTGCGGAGCGCAAAGAAGCCAAGCAAGAGAAAGAGGAGGTTTGTAGTTTGTGGTGATTACAAATACAGTATCTGGATCTACTTTATTGACATGTGTGAGGAATTTAATTTGTAGAAAGGCTTAGTTATTAGATGATGTACTTCCCCACATAGTGATTGCTGTCTACTTTGGCAAGGACAGTCTTGTCAATGAGATTTATTTAATCATATGAAACACAAACTTTACATTGTCACATCATCTGTGTGTCTTCAAACTTCACACTTCCAGGCTGAGCGTTACCAGCGTCTGAAGGATGAAGTAGCCAGAGCCAGTGTTCAGTTGCAGCTCTTCAAGCTATTCCACAATGAGACTGAGATAGAGAAGCTGAACAAAGAGCTGGGCCAGCGGAACAAGGAGATCGATAAGGACCGTAAAAAGATGGACCATGTGGAGGAGGAGCTGAAGGACAAGAAGAAGGAGCTGGGCAGGCTGATGAGGGAACAGCAGACCATTGAGAAAGAAATCAAGTAAGTTGCTGTCATAACAACCCTGTCATTTATGTATGCTTAATGCACATATATAGATATAGCACCACTGACAACTTTCTTAATCATGTGCCTCTCTCCACAGAGAGAAAGACTCTGAGCTGAACCAAAAGAGGCCGCAGTACATCAAGGCTAAAGAAAACACCTCACACAAGATCAAGAAGCTTGAGGCTGCTCGCAAGTCATTGCAAAATGCCCAGAAGATGTACAAGAAACGCAAAGCAGATATGGATGAGCTGGATAAAGAGATGAAAGCGGTGGAGTTGGCCAAGCAAGAGTTTGAGGAGAGAATGGAGGAGGAGGCGCAGAGCCAGGGCCAGGACCTCACCCTGGAGGAAAATCAGGTGTGATATGTTCAAATATTGAATTTGAATAATTGATCTGCTCCAGGTTTGTATTTCATTGAAACATAATAAATTTTCAGTCAACTGAAAAAAATCTACTTTAATGCTTATGTCCTAGATGACTGTGTAGTCTTCGAAATATACATTCAGCAGTTTGGCTAAAGATGCAATTGGAAAGGGAGCAAATGCAATTTTCAGGATTAAGTGAGCATAAAGTGCATCTCAGACTCAATGGATGTTTTAAATTTAATCTACTTAACACAAGCCACTGTTTCTTTCTCCTCCAGGTCAAGCAGTACCACCGTCTGAAGGAGGAGGCCAGTAAACGTGCTGCTACGTTGGCTCAGGAGCTGGAGAAGTTCAACCGTGACCAGAAGGCCGACCAGGACCGCCTTGATTTGGAGGAGAGGAAGAAAGTGGAGACAGAGGTAAATATGAAAATGATGACAGTTTTTTCCTGTGCCAGAAAACACTTGCATCATATAACCATCCATTGTGTCCTTTCTCTCCAGGCCAAAATCAAACAGAAGATCCGGGAAATTGAGGAAAACCAGAAACGTATTGAGAAATTAGAGGACTATATCACCACTAGCAGGTACGCTGCTCTCATGGATTAGTTTATTGATTCTTTAAGTTTCTCCATGATGCTCTTTCACTCACATGCTCCCATCCTGTTACCCCCCCCCAGGCAGTCATTAGATGAACAGAAGCGCATGGAGGAGGAGCTGACTGAGGAGGTGGAGATGGCCAAGAGGAGGATTGATGAGATCAACACAGAGCTAAATCAGGTACACAATACACACCCCAGACTTCAAATGCTGAAAGATTTTACTTTAAAACTTTACCGGAGCTCCTATTGTCAATGTTATTAGTTACACTCAAAAAATGATCTAACTAATTCCAAATATTTTGCATTGTTTGCTGTAGGTAATGGAGCAGCTGGGAGACGCCAGAATCGACAGGCAGGAGAACAGTCGCCAGCAGCGCAAGGCTGAGATCATGGAGAGTATCAAACGACTGTACCCCGGCTCTGTGGTGAGGCGACTGACCACTTCCTTTATTGTTTCATTTTCTTGTGCTTCCTCCTGGATCCAGTCAAATCATCAAATAAACTCATTTTATTAAAACAAAATTCTACTCTTTCAATCCGCAGTATGGTCGTCTAATCGACCTGTGTCAGCCCACTCAGAAGAAGTATCAGATTGCTGTGACTAAAGTGTTGGGCAAGAACATGGATGCCATCATTGTTGACTCGGAGAAGACTGGCAGAGACTGTATTCAATACATCAAAGAGCAGAGAGGAGAGCCGGAGACCTTCCTGCCTCTCGACTACCTTGAGGTGAGTCCTGGAAAGAATTGATAACAGCTCTGCTCAAGAATATTTTATAAGTTTATTATTTTATGTCCGGCACAAGTTTTTCCGTTGAATGT